GGTCGGTCTCACCTCTTGTTATTTATATATTATTATTATTTTTCTTGCTGTTTCTAGGCCATGCTAACGATGGAACGATAAACAGGATGGGGAAGTTGGAATGTAAGCCGTTGACTCGAGTTCGCCGCCGCTTTTTTTTTCTGCTCACGTCTAATAACAGCCGTTCTGGTTAATATAGCTGGGGATATTCCTGTGCATGCGCTGCGCAACATTGCACCGTAAACTTGGCACCCACATTTCCAAGGTCAAGTCTCTGACCATGGACAGCTGGACGGCCGAGCAGGTCGAGGTGGGTTCTCCCTGGTGACACTTGCTGCTGCTGGCGTCGTACTGACACTTAACGGGCTCCCAGACCATGAAAAGGAACGGGAACGTAGCTGTCAACAGGATATACAACCCGCGGAACATCAAACCCTCCATCCCCCTCGACATAGACGAGGTCGACTCGGTCATGGAACGCTTTGTGCGCAAAAAGTACGAGCTCAGAGCCCTCGAGGATGGCAAACCGAAGCCCCCCAGCAGACAGGACCCGAGCTACACTTCAAGGCCTGCCGCCGACCTCTCTCTGCCTTCTCCTTCCTCCCCGCCTTATGCTACGGCTACCCTGCCTTCCAAGCCAAAGTCGAGGTTCGCTTTTGGGCTGCGCTCGCTGTCTTCCTCTCACTCGTCCTCGCCAAGCTCAAGCAGGTCCGCCACTGTAACCCTCCCTTCCCTACGCCGGAGAGAGAGTCTCGAGACCTCGCACGTTCATTCAGTTCCTCTACCGAATAACAAGCAGTCCAGGACACTGGGAGTTAGCATTGCAGATCGCAATGGGTCCCTGGAGTCGAAGCTCGAGAAACTGCGGGAGATGGGCTTCATGGACGAGAGAAGGAACATGACCGTTCTCAAGGGGCTGAACGGTGATGTAGAACGCTGCATAGACACGCTGACCAGGCTTGGAGAGAAGTCGTCAATAGGCGGGCCACGGTCACCTACCTCACCAACCGGCACGCAGAGCGGCTACAGGACCTCCTCGGGCTCGACAGACATGTTCACCCCTCCCTCGAGCTCCTCGAATCCTTTCGATAAGCCGCCAGCGAGCGTGGCTGCTGCTCCTCCTAACGGGAACGTAGGGATATCAATCAACAGATCGGCTACTGGGGGTAACACTCCGACAGAACAGAAGCCGGTCTCCCACAACCCATTCGATGCCCTGGACCAGTCATTCCAGAACCTCCAGGTTTCCTCCCAACCCTTATTCCCCAACATGACGGGCGGTTATCCCAGCCAACAGGCCAACTTACAGCTGTCCAGAGCCCAGCAGACCATGACCCCTCCTGTTCCATCGATCCCCCATCAGCACCAGTTCCTACAACTGCAACACCAGCAACAGCAACAGCAACAGCAAGGCTACGGCTCGGTGGCTCAATCACCTATGCACGGACACTATAACCCGTTCATGTCGCACTCTACGCCGGCAACACCGTATGCAGGAACTCCCACCCAACCGCTGTCACCTACAAACCCTTTCTTCACCCAGCCGCAGACGCAGACCCAGCCGCAGCTGCAGCAAAATGGGCTTCAGCAAGGAAACACTTCACCATTCACCCTCCAGCACCATAATACCATGCCAGCCCTCTCTCCTCCTTACATGTACCAACAGCCTCAGCAACAGCAACAGCAGCAGCAGCAGCAGCAGCAGCAACCAATCTATCCCATGCAACAACAGCCTACTACTGCCATGCCTGCATACCAACAGCTCAAGCAACAACAGCCCCAGCAGCCAAACAGGATTGATAAATCCAGCATCCTTGCGCTCTACAACTTCTCTCAACCTCCTCCTACCATCCCCGAACAACCACAACAGCAGCAACAGACCCAGCAACAACCTCAACTGTCGCACCTACAAACAAATACCCCATTCTCCACAAACCCATATCAGACCACCACCAACGCGAGCCCGATGGTCCAGTCCGCCCCCGCAATCACCACAGGCACATATGCAAATCACAATCCCTTCTTCGCCCCTACCAATACAACTCCCAGCCAGCCAGCCAGCTTCGTCCCCACGGCACAAACTCAATCACAGGACCCTGCAGCTCCCGCTCCCGCACCAAATAACATGGGATTTTCACGAACCCACGTCAGCCAGGAATCTATCGATATCAGACAGGCTCACAGCGGGCGCCACAGCCCTGATATCTTCGCCAGTTTAAGCGCCAGATATTAAGCGCCCCTCCCTTTCAAGCGTACCGTACATACATGAAATTCATTGCATACATACATCCATACATAAACCATTGAATTGCCAGCGATACCACGAAAAAAAAAAGAAAAAGAAAAGCGCATCGATATATAGCCTGTCAGTCAGTCAGCAAGCAACACTTGAATTCCTCATTCGAAAAAGACCATCGTTACCTTCTGCCGGTCTCGTCGCCCTATATGCATTTTTTTTTTGCCCCTTTCCACCTGATAATGAAATGAGCTTGCGGATCCGTCTCTTGTCTCTCTTCTAATCTTCTCCCAGCCTACCTTTTCTTCCGGGAGGCCACTTATCTGATACCATTCTCTCTTCTTATTCTCATATGTTCGTTCACTTCTTTCTAACACCATCGCATACACTGCAATGCATAAGTGGATGGATGATGGGACTCGACACTTTTTCTGTTTTTGTTTTTTTTGGCTTCGTTTACTTGAAACTACTTTATTCACTCCTTGTTTTCACTTTACGTATAGGAGGTAACATACCGATCCTATCCTTTCTAGTTTCCATTTGCTATTCTACATGAACAGTTACCCTCGTTCTCACTTCTCTTCTCTTCTCTTCTTTGTATAACCAGCACCCTTTGCAAATCTGGCTATTTATCTTCTTCCGTTCTGGTCTTACTGCTTTTATTACAATGTTTGAAAAACTCGTCCTCGGTTTATTCTATCTGCTTGCTTATTTGCTGCGGGGACACTACAGTTTCAAGCTTCTTATTACAGATAGACCTTATACTTAGTTAATGATATGAGCGTTTTGCTATGCCGTGTTATGACTTTTGCTCTTGTTCGTATGCGTGGGGAATACAGTGAGACAACTGTCTGCCTTACGGAGCGAAGCTGATTGAATACCGGGCTAATATCAATTTATGTATTACAAAAATTAAACAACTATCTAGATATGTTCATCCGTTTGTATGTATGGAATGTATAGCCAGGCCGGGAAGGGCTGTTGTATGAAAAGGGTAGCTCCAGGGAGGGAAAAAGTATATACAGCGCCAGGCAGTCATAGCGATTTTTCAAGACCACAGATCGCGCTGTGCATTCGTTGCTTGCCGTCGGGCGATTATCCTCTGGTACATTGAGACAATGTTGTCTTTCAGCTGGAAGATTGGAGCCTTGCGTCGGCGCTGCCACGGCCAGTTCCATTGCTGAGATCGTCGTTTACTCAATGACCCTGACGAAAATGGAGATGAGAGCGAAGGAAGCGAAAACGAGGTCCGGAACGAGGAGAATATGTCTTGTGTCTTCTTTGTCCCTGGTGAACTACTGCTGCTGCTGCTCCACCAAGGAATCCATGACGAGTCTGACTGTGGCTGGGCAACACTGTCTCGTTCTCTGGCTAAGACATCGATGATCCGGTCGAAGCTACGCTGTTGCTGCTGTTGCTGCTGCTGCTGAGATGAAGCTTGCTCGCTTTTAGGGATAGTTTTGCGAACCTGGCTGGTCCGCCAGTCCGATTGGATCTTAGGATCACGACACCAGACTATCACGTCTCCCTTTCGGCGTGCGTCGTCATGCCAGGCCGTGTTGAAAGTGCGATAGCATTCGGCGTATGAAGATGAAGAGCGAACATCTTGTTTAAGTGTTGGCTCTAGATGGGAGAAGAAGACAAGGTAGTCTGGCCAATCATGCTTGTGAGTAGAAGCAGATGAGAAGTGTTTAGAGAGTATTCCAGTGCTAGCCATATGCTGGGATAGGAATTCAGAAGGGTTGTTGTAGAATTGGTCCGCTTCATCGACGTAGGTGGCTTTTTCCTCTGGGGAGAGATTGACAGGTGGTTCACAACCCAGAGCCCAGGCGCGGATGTGGGGAGATACCAAATGTGACCGCCAGGGAGTGCTATGGCAGGGCATGAGAAATCCCGCAGTAAGGCCACGGGAGGGCTCATACTGGTAATGGGTATCCTGTTGTACGCGGAGGTATCCGAGTACATCAATGACACCTGATGCGTGGATAATGGACGTATATGCGGCAATGGTAACGTTGACCAGCACTAGGAATATTAGGAGAAGTCTCCGCGGGGTATATGATCCAGAAGCGGAAGATATGGAGGGAGTGAAGAAGTTGGATACTGGGGCGGCAGCGATGATGTGAAGACAAGGTAACAGGGGGTATATGAAGCGGACTTCCTTGTGAGGGACGAGAGAGAGGATTGCCGGCATTGCAATGCAGGCAAGTGACAGTGGTCGTCTGACTGCTGCGGCCAGGCTGGTAGAGCAAGATTGTTCCGATGCCATGAACAATGATTGGAACATGCCGATGAAAGCAAATGGGAGAGCAGTGATGAGCAGAAGAGGGTATCCCTGTGAGAGATAGTAGTGCCAATCATTTCTGCCGTAAAAGACAGCAAGGGACTGGACTACATTAAAATAGAGGAACCTGAAGGGAGGAAGTGTCCATGTTCCATAATAGGCACGATCCGCTAGGACGGAGACAGCTAGGATGGAAGAACTGCTTTTTGCGTCAATTGATGACATCTACATGTTGGGCTATGTCAACTTACCCGCACAGGATGCATTCTCTAAGAAGAATGATGAGAGGTTCTAGGGACTTGGTCCAGGACAGCCGTGATGTCTGGCTCTGACGGAGAGTGGTATATACCAGACTGGCCGCCAGACAGAACCATATAATGGTATTAGTCGGGCGTAGGACACACGCCAGCGAGGCAAGGATCAGACATATCCTCAGGCTAGACCTATTAGTCTGGGTACATATGTCAGAGATATATGGGTGTAGCATACCGGGTAACATCTCTAGTGGTCACCAGCGGCCACCTGCCAGGGAGAGACCACTGCCATGGCCACAGATATAGGGCAGTGACGGTAAGGGAGGTCTCCAGGCAGTTTGATAACGTCCGAGTAGAGCAGAACCACTGCCAGGGACTCAACACCGTCAAACCTAGCTGCTCGCCCGGTCAGAATAAAAATGTACATCCTCCCGTAAAGCACGGCAAAAAAAGGGGGGAGGGGGGAGGGGGGAGGGGGAAGTCTCACGATCCAAGTGCTCTCCGGCCTGCCATTGTATATCCGCCTGCCCAAATTCCAGGTGTAATAGTCCCCCACGGCGGAGATGATGCCCTGAACAACCTTGGGCCCCGCTATCAGGAGGTCACCCCGTAGTAAGGGGGAGAGCTGGAGCACGTTGGCCACCGCATCTACGGCTTTGTAGACGGCCGCAAAGAGGTAAGGGTGAATCGACGACCGCAGCTGATGCTCCCATTCCTACAGAACGCCCCAAATTGTCAGCCAACCGCACCTCCCGCATCTTCCTTTCTTTTCCATCCTGTCTCTTTTCTCTCTGTTTCTGCCCTTCCGGGGTGGGGGGATGCATACCCATGTAATCCAAGCGCCACTGTCCCGGCCAAAAGCAATCCCCCATGCGGGCTCGAGCGACTGGAAGAACTCGTCTGGCTGGAAGAACGTCCGGACAAGCAGGCCGTTAGCGATGCGCAGGGCCAGCAGCAGGAGGAAGACGTCCGCCGCCCGCCGTCTCTGCTGGGCCCCCTGGCTGCCGCCGCCGTGGCCCCTCGAGGCAGCAGCAGCACTCCGCGCCTTTGGCATCGTTCCGCGCGGGAAAAGGAGGCGACCACTCAACTCGCTACCAGCGTTTCCCTCCCTTGGCCGGCGGAGGAACTCTGAGCAGCGTCAGCGAGTTTAACTAGGTTAACAGGCTGGGAAAAGAAACGAAACAAAGCAGCCCGCAAGACGAGGAAGAAAAAGACAAAAAGAAAAAGACCCGAAGATGTCGACCAGAGGGCGCGATGATGTCAGGATCCATGTGACCCGCCGGTTTTCTTACTCACGGACGGCCTGATTCGCCGCCGCCGCTGCGCTTCGTTGCTTTTTTCTTCTTTTCTTCGTCTGCGGCCCTCGAGATGGAGCAGGACGGTGGAGTTGCTGGTGCGAGTCACCTTCACTTAACGGCATAGCGTGCTGGACGGGGAGGATACCGTCGGGGGAGGGGGAGTGGCAGCGAGTGGCAGCGTGCGCCAGCTCGGGGCGTATATAAAGGCTGCGCGGGACGCCCGGCGGGGAGGAGGGAGGAGGAGGAATGCATATACAGACATACACGACGGTCAAAAGATACCCATACCCAGATATTGCACGGGACAAGCTACAAGACACAAGACACAAGACGCAGTGACAGACACAATGGCTCCAATGGCGACTCAGGTGGTTCCGGGCGGCAAGGACGTCTCGAAGTACCACGCCTCGTCGACCGAGTCCGCCATCGCGGAGGAGGCCCAGTACGCCGCCCACAACTACCACCCGCTGCCGGTCGTCTTTGCGCGCGCATCAGGCACCTCCGTCTGGGACCCCGAGGGGAAGCACTATCTCGACTTCCTGTCCGCCTACTCCGCCGTCAACCAGGGCCACTGCCACCCGGAGCTCGTCAAGACCCTGACCGAGCAGGCCGCAACCCTCACTCTGAGCTCCAGGGCCTTCTACAACGATGTCTTCCCCAAGTTCGCCAAGTTCGTCACCGAGTACTTCGGCTACGACATGGTCCTGCCTATGAACACCGGTGCTGAGGCCGTCGAGACCGGTATCAAGATTGCCCGCAAGTGGGGGTACAAGGTCAAGGGCATTCCGCCAAACGAGGCCATCATCCTCAGCGTCGAGAACAACTTCCACGGACGTACCGTAAGTGCTCATTTGATAATAACAAGGATGAGGGGGTCGGCAGGATTCGTGCTAATTGCTCTGTGTTTTTTTGTAATAGTTCGCTGCCATCTCCATGTCTACTGACCCCGAGTCGAGGGAGAACTACGGCCCTTACCTGCCAAACATCGGCAGTGTCATTCCCGGCACCAACAAGCCCATCGTATACAACGACAAGGAGTCTCTCCGCCAGGCCTTCGAGGCTGCCGGCCCCAAGATTGCTGCGTTCCTTCTCGAGCCCATCCAGGGTGAGGCTGGCATCATGGTCCCTGACGAGGACTACCTCCGCGAGGCCAAGGCTCTTTGCGAGAAGCACAATGCTCTCTTGATCTGTGATGAGGTTCAGACCGGTATTGCTCGTACCGGAAAGCTTCTCTGCCAGGAGTGGAGCGGCGTCAAAGCTGATCTCGTCCTCCTTGGCAAGGCCATCTCCGGCGGCATGTACCCCGTCTCCTGCGTTCTCGGACGCAAGGACGTCATGCTTACTGTCGAGCCCGGCACACACGGCTCCACCTACGGTGGTAACCCACTCGGCTGTGCCATTGCCATCCGTGCTCTGGAGATCATCCGCGAAGAGAACATGGTTGAGCGCGCCGAGACTCTAGGACAGCAGTTCCGTGCTGGCCTGAACGCTATCAAAGACCCTATGATCCAGACCGTTCGTGGCAGAGGTCTGTTGAACGCCCTCGTTGTCGACGAGTCCAAGACCAACGGACACACTGCTTGGGACCTGTGCATGCTGATGAAGTCCAAGGGTCTTCTTGTAAGCCATCTTCTTTATCTCTCTGGAAGTACTATATGAACCTATTTCTAACTAATATCTCCTAGGCCAAACCAACCCACCAGAACATCATCCGATTCGCTCCTCCACTCGTCATCACCGAGGCGCAGATCAAGGAATCCCTCAAGATCATCGAGGAGGCTATCAAGGAGCTCCCAAACTCCCCAAAATAAACGCCTAGCCTCGCCGCTCCCCTCGCAAGAACTTTCTCCACCTTTCACGACCCCGTCTTACTACCACCGCATTGCATTCTTCTTTTCTCCTTTATTCTTTCGGATGAAACTTAATGATTCTCCAAAAACGATTTTTCTTTTCCAACTCAAAGCATATCTTCAGAAAAGCAACAGCGCATTATGTCTTCATGGTTTATTTAAACGGCTAAAGGGAATAGTCACTCGGGACTATAGGAGAAAAAGGGGGAAAGGAAACACCCAAAAAAAAAAAAAAAAAACAAGGAGGAAGAAGGGGCCTAACCATGGCCAGGGCAGGCTTCTTGTCATCTTTTGCTTTACATATATACCCCTTTTATTACCCTCGCGAGCGGACAGTTAGATACTATCTGAGAGGAGTTGTGTAGGATCATACATATCACTTCATGGCGAAGGGAGTATTCTGTTTCCGGTGTATTCCATGCCGCGGGGCACAGTGTAGTGATTAATTTATGCTGAACTAGGAATAGACTGTATGCTCAAGGCCCTGGCCTTCACTATTTCTCCTACTCGATCCATTCGTTCTCCGTCAAGTAATTCATTAGCATCACTGGTGTTAGGTGCTCCAAAAGTATCACAAACACAAGCCCAATGTCAAAATACACTGCATAGCAAACATGGAATTATACGCGGCAAGCTCGCCAGACTGTTGAATCCTGCAGGTATCCGGACGCAAGGATGAGAAATAACTAACTAGCTAGACAAAGCCACCAGGTCGGGCCTTCATGCTTCGTCTCATGCATGAACACATCACCCTGTCCTTCCATCCGACACCCAGGCCAGCATCTCCCTACTCCTGCCCCAAGAACACCCCTCTTCAACCATCACCAACATAAGTATATATCCCCAGGTCGCGGACGTCGGAGAAATAAATCGGTAGCTATAACTAGGAGAACGAGCCATCCGCCAGGGCTCTACTTTTAGTTAAGGTTGTGGGGCCTCGCCGGCCGATCTCCCAGCAACTTTGTTCCGACCGCCAAGCTAAGTTAGTTAGGCTGGGCTGGGACGACATGAACGCAAACACGCCAGACAGACCTCAGGGTGCAGCAGCCGGAGTGCAAAGTTCAGACAAGGGATGCAGTGCTATGGCCTGGTAGTGCAACATCCGGCCTCTGATCGGTCCTATGATACCCGTTAACCTACCCTGCAAGTCCGGGATGTTGTCGGGATTCGAGAAGCTGCATGGCTGCAGGTAGCAAGCAGATCGAAGAGCGGTGTACGGCGACTCACCCCAGCATTACGACGAGATTACGGATATATCTACGTCAAAGGACTCAACAGGCCGCTGGCCCTGAATAACTGGATAACCAGCTCTAGTTGACACTACAAATCCCGACGATGGGCTTGTCTCTGGATGCACTGGTTGCTCGAGTGTGGCAGTTCTGTTCCTCAGTGTAGGCAAGACAACTTATCTTTCCTTTTAATCGGCTCCTCTGGTCTCAGGCTGACAGCAGTAGACACTCGATAGGAGTCTCACGACGAGGAACTCAAGGATGGCGTCTACCCGTGGGAAAGAAATATCACGAATTCTTGGTTGTATATGGCGAGAGCCTACGCCAATGTTCTAACATGGTAAAATATGTTATAGGAGATAGAGGGCTCGAATCATGAGACTCAATCCATCTGGACTGCATATTTGAGACTGCAATTTTTGTCGGTCAATCTACACTGATGATACCTGGCGCTTGAGCGAATGTCCTGCCGTTGCTACCACTGATGCCATATCAATGAGGGTCTCGCAACAATTGACCAAGGTCAATACCCTCCATGAAGAGAGCTATTGAAATCATCCTTTTAGCAGTCTGTTATCCCTAATGTTGAGCCTGTTATCCATAATCGCATACACGGGATTTTTGAATGGCTAGGGGAGCGATTCTGGCCACAAAAAAAGAAAATGTTAACTGGCATTGCGTGCCATCACCTTACGGTCAGCCCATATGCCATCCCTGCTGTAGCATGCCTTCTTATCACACAATTGAAGATTTTCAGCTTGATTTACTCCATCTTCATGGTTGCAAACTGCGCACAAGGTTCAAGTCAATATGGCTTGAACGACTATGAAATTGCGGTAGAAAGGGTGGCGCTGGACTGGATACAGATGAGGGGGATTTTGTGGAACAGACGCCGCTGGTCAGTCACCATGTTTAGTCCCTTGCTAAACCCTCAGGCTATTTGGAAGCTATATGACGAACCAGGGGTTTGTCGATGAGGAGACTGCCGTGTGGTATACTATTCAACCAGAAAGTCACCAGTACCTGGTATTCAAACTTTCTATCCAATTCATTCCTCCCCTAATAAATGCTGATCATGAACTGCAGGGTGCGAGCCAACGTCCAGCAATGGACCCCTGAACTCGACTCCCGCGTGTTACTCTTTATAAAAAAGCCCACGAGTACAAGAGTTACGGTACTTGATTCCAAGAGGGGCAGATCAGTCTGAAGATCATCGTTCGCCTTCCTCCAAAGGGTATTGTTGATACACTTTTACGCACCTGTCAACCAATCAACGTATTTGTTCACACAGATCTTGCTATTGTTTCCAATCACTCTACACGTTCAGCCCCAAACTTTGGCTAACGAAAATCGAGCAAGCTATCAAATCGGATTAGTTCCTGGATTCTTTTATTTAGATTAATCGTCGGTTTGTGGGGGTTTGCCCTAGCATCTGTCCAACTATCATTCATGATCGTCGACTAGTCATGCATGTCGACATAAGGAACTCAAAAGACTGTTCCAGGAGCTTTCGAAATCCATCATATTCGCTACCTGAGGCATGATAAATCAGGATATGTCAAGGCCATGCTTAAGAATCTCTCCAACTGTTACCTAAAAAACCCAGCTTCTGACAATATTATTGTTGATGGCCGTCTTATCCTGTCAATGGTCTAATCAGATGTTCAATTATTGACGTTTGATTCTATCCGATTTCAAGGTTTTTGGGCTGACAGCTAGCTTATTTCTACTTCGTCTCCAACTTGAATCCAGCACTATACTACACATATATTCATATATCTTGAAAATGCCCAGCCAAAAGGTTTCAAGCTTTCTCTTCGATCTCGGGCCAGGGAATCTGGATACTAACTATGCATTAGGTATATACGGGATTATTTTAACTATAATCAAACCTGATGAAATGTACGCATCTATGTTGGCATTACCTACGGCTCATTTCGTTTCACGGGGCTGGTTGGGCCACAAATAAATGTTTCAGCTGATATGTACTGACGGTATGGAGTATCAGTAAACTACTTCTTTCTCAGGGGTTTTCGACTTGTTGTTGATTCACTTTGGTCTGCACCAGCCGCCAAGTCAAAGACGGCGTCGGGATGACCAGACAGCTCCTTCTGACTTACCATGAATGATATGCGTTGGTAGTAACTAACTCGAGATGTCTAGCTATCCTTCGGCGGATACTTTTCACTTATAGCAGCAATATATTGAACACTGGCCAGAACCCTCACGACCCATGCAAGGTTTCCGCCCTCGGAGTTAACAATAATGGTGACAAGCCGTTTATCACCAATAATGTCTTCAAGGGTCATGAACGGATGAAACTCATCCGAGTTTAAACCCGGGAATACGAGCTACTTGATCACGGACGAAATTGAATCCCAACAGGATGCGAATTACTAAGCTTAACCAAGCTTTGCCGCTCACCGTACGGAGTACGTGACCGTTTAACAGGTAAATGCAGAGAAGCGACGAAAAGAATGACCGAGCTCAAATTCGGCTGTAAAGGGCTTTTCGGACTTTGACGACTCCAGTGGCCAGGGTGGAAAAGCTGACGCCCAACAGTTTCCGAGACGGTCAAGCCGCTTTAGTCGTTTATAACTGCGCTGGTCTCCCGGTCGTTCTGTCATTGCGAGGATGAACGACATGCACCGCCCACACAATATAACATTTGTGACCATCATGGAAGGCTAAGAGAAAGATCGAACATCTATTAAACTAGTTAACTGTTTAATCATTTATACTGCCTGACATGCCGTCAGCAGTGGCTGGAAAAGATAGCGGCCGCCACAGTATGACCAACAAAGAGATCGACAACGACGGCAGAAATGGCGACCAGAGTGAATCTGATGATGGAGGAAAGGGAGTAGACTCGGCCTATGAGAATAAATTGCGATGGTATCAAAGGTTGAACCCGATCAGACTTCAAAAACCGCCGCCTGTGCCGACAGAGCGAGCAATTTCGAAGGAACATGGAGCCAGCCTGCTAAGTGTCATCACATTTCAATGGATGCACCCATTGATGATGGTGAGCTTTCTTCCTGGTATAAGTAATATGTTGCATTTAATAACGAAGTGCTATCTAGACGGGCTACCTCCGGCCCCTCCAGTTACAGGATATCTGGCTGGTAAATCCAGACAGGTCGGTCGAAGGGCTTTCTGCGAAACTTGAAGCTTCGTTTCAAAGGAGAATTGAACGTGGCGACAAACATCCTCTACTCGGAGCTGGGTATGAGACATTCAAACTTGAGATATGGATCGGTGCATGCTGCCAGATGGTTGCTTGCGTTCTCCAGGTTCTCACGCCTTATACCACCAAGTATCTGATTGCATTCGCAACAGAAGCATATATTGCACGGCATAAACATGCTCCTGGCCCTCATGTTCGCAACGGGATTGGAATTGCAATCGGCATTACTCTTATGCAAATCGTCCAGAGCGTGACTACAAGCCAGTTCTTCTTTCGAGGAATGATGGTTGGCGGACAGGCTCGGGCTGTCCTTGTTAGTATGATATTCTCCAAAGCAACGAGATTATCTGGTAGAGCCAGAGCCGGTGGGAAGGCTATCAGCCCGGGAGAAACGGGAGCAAAAGCCGCCGAGCAAGATACCGAACTTCGAAAGGCTCGTGATACCATCTTGACATCAATCTTCAACAAGAAGAAGCATGTTGGACCGACAAACGCAGTCGCTGGTGTGATGGGTGATGGAACCGGATGGAGCAATGGTCGTATTGTCACGTTGATGAGCGTGGATACCGATCGAATAGACAAAGCTCTGGGCCTATTTCACCTTCTCTGGACATCACCTATCATCATTATCCTTGCTCTTATTCTTCTCCTGGTAAATATCGGATATAGTGCTCTTTCGGGGTATGCACTTTTAGTTGCAGGAATCCCGTTATTGACACACGCTATAAAGTCCCTTATCAGAAGACGAAAGAAGATTAACAAAATCACCGATCAGAGAGTATCACTCACCCAGGAGATCCTTCAAGCTGTGAGGTTCGTCAAGTTCTTTGGCTGGGAGCAGAGTTTCCTGAAACGCCTTGATGAACTTCGTAAGAGAGAAGTACGTGCGATTCAGGTTGTACTAGCTATCCGCAATGTTCTTCTTTGCATTGCATTATCTCTTCCCGTCTTTGCCTCTATGCTCTCTTTCATCACATTCTCTCTCACTAAGCATCCCCTTAACCCAGCCCCTATATTCTCCTCCCTGGCTCTATTCAATACCCTTAGACTACCATTGAATATGTTACCCTTAGTACTTGGCCAAGTGACCGACGCATGGACTGCCCTGAATCGAATTCAGGACTTTTTACTTGCCGAAGAACAAAAGGATGATATTGAACGGGATGATTCCCTGGACAATGCACTTGAGATTGACAATGCCTCGTTTACCTGGGAACGTCTTCCATCAAGTGAAGAAGACTCACTCAGCAAAAAGGGAACCGGAAGCCGCAAAGGAAAGGTCAAGTTAACCAAAGACATGGAGAAAGAGAATGCTGATTCGGGTCTTCAAAGCCCTACGGAGCCATTTCAACTTACCAACCTGTCCTTTACTGCCGGCCGAAACGAGCTCATTGCCGTCATTGGTACAGTTGGGTGTGGTAAGAGTTCCCTGCTTGCGGCTCTTGCAGGAGATATGCGAATGACAGGAGGTCATGCATCTATTGCAGGAGATATGCGAATGACAGGAGGTCATGCATCTATGGGAGCGTCTAGAGCCTTTTGCCCGCAATATGCCTGGATCCAAAACGCAACAGTGAAGGAAAATATCCTGTTTGGCAAAGAATACGACGAGGTCTGGTATAACCAAGTCATCGATGCTTGCGCCTTGAGAGCAGATCTCAAAATGTTACCTAACGGAGACCAAACAGAGATTGGAGAACGAGGGATCACAATTTCTGGAGGTCAAAAGCAGCGACTGAATATTGCTCGCGCGATATATTTCAATAGCTCGCTGGTTCTTTTGGACGATCCTCTTTCTGCTGTGGATGCCCATGTTGGCCGTCATATCATGGATAACGCCATATGCGGACTTTTGAAAGACAAATGCCGTATTCTTGCTACGCATCAGCTCCATGTTCTTAGCCGATGTGATCGAATCATATTGATGGATAACGGCCGCATTGAAGATATTAATTCCTTCGATAACCTCATGCGCCACAATGATAGTTTCCAGAAGCTCATGTCCTCGACCATACAGGAAGATGAACAAGACAATAAAGAGACTACAAGGAACACTAACGGAGCCGCTGAGGCTGCCGGACCATCAGAAGGGGAGAATAGAGCATCAGGCAAAGCGCCCGGTGCTTTGATGCAAAAGGAGGAAAGGGCGGTAAATTCCGTCAGCTGGAAAGTTTGGCGAGCCTATGTTTCAAATTTTGGCTGGCCCATAAACCTCCCTATAATCGTCCTCGGCCTAATACTTGCAAACGGCGGTACAATCGTCAATGCCTTATGGCTCTCTTACTGGGTATCCAGAAAATTTGACTTTTCCACGGGGGCATACATTGGGGTATACATTGCTCTGGGTGTTGCACAGGCGCTCTGTCTCTTCATTTTCTCAACCACCTTGACAATAAGCGGAACAAACGCGAGTAAAGCTATGCTTTCTCGAGCTATCAATAAGGTCTTGAGAGCTCCAATGTCATTCTTCGATACTACGCCCCTAGGCCGAATGACCAACAGATTTTCAAAGGATATACATACCATGGACAACGATTTGACAGATGCGATGCGCACGTTTTACTTGACCTTTGGCTTAATTCTTGCTGTGATCGCTTTGATTATTGTATATTTCCACTATGTAAGTCCTTGGTTTTTGAATATCCGGATTGAAACGAAAGTATCATCGTGCTAACGCTAAAATAGTTCGCCATTGCGCTGATACCGTTACTTATAATATTTTTATTCGCAGCGAATTTCTATCGGGCATCCGCAAGGGAACTGAAACGTCATGAAGCTGTGCTTCGATCAGAGGTCTTCTCGCAGTTCACTGAAGCCATATCTGGGACAGCATCTATAAGGGCATATGGACTCCAGGATTATTTCACAAAACGGCTTCAGAAGGCTGTTGACAATATGGACAGTGCATACTTCCTTACCTTTTCTAACCAGCGATGGCTTACCGTCCGACTGGACGCCGTTGGTTGGCTAATGGTTTTTGTAACAAGTATATTGGTTGTTACATCGAGATTCAACGTGGATCCAAGCATCTCGGGGCTAGTGCTTTCATTCATTCTTTCAATTTCTCAGCTGTTACAGTTCACCGTCCGTCAGCTAGCCGAAGTAGAGAACAGCATGAATGCGACAGAGAGAATCCATTATTATGGAACCAAGTTGGAAGAGGAGGCCCCATTGCACCTTCGCCGGATGGATGAAATCTGGCCACAATCCGGCCAAATAACTTTTAAGAATGTTGAGATGAGATATCGTGCTGGTTTACCGCTTGTGTTACAAGGACTTAATCTGGATATTAAGGGAGGGGAACGGATTGGTATTGTCGGGAGAACTGGAGCAGGCAAATCTAGTATAATGTCCGCCCTGTTCCGCCTAACCGAGCTTTCGGGGGGTTCGATTACGATTGACGGTATTGATATTTCCACCATTGGCCTGCATGATCTGCGCAGCAGATTAGCCATCATCCCACAGGACCCTGCCCTGTTTCGTGGAACGGTACGATCCAACTTGGATCCTTTCAATGAGCACTCTGATCTGGAACTTTGGTCCGCTCTGCGGCAATCCCACCTTATCAACGAAGAAAATGAAAATAATAGCGACACTGAGCGCAATGAAAAGAGCACAGCGTTACTTGAAAGCGATCACCAGCCGCAACAGCAACAAAAGATTCATCTTGATACTGCGGTAGAAGAAGAAGGATTGAATTTCTCCCTTGGTCAAAGACAGCTAATGGCTCTGGCCAGAGCCTTAGTGCGTGGCTCGCGTATTATTGTTTGCGATGAAGCTACTTCTTCCGTCGATTTCGAAACAGATCAGAAAATACAGGAGACGATGGCAGTTGGGTTTAAGGGCAAGACGCTCCTATGCATTGCGCATCGTCTTCGAACGATTATCAATTATGATAGGATATGTGTAATGGATCAGGGACGAATAGCCGAAATGGACACTCCCCTTAATCTATGGGAGAAAGAGGGGCTATTCAGAGGAATGTGTGAGCGGAGTGGCATCGTCAAGAGTGATCTGACAGGGAGTATAGAAAGCTAGTCAAGCCATCCAACCTCAAGTGATGATATTTGGCACACTTAAGTATATAAATCCTCTCCCGAGGCTATCTCGAGTAATATAGTAGCGATGGCATACATTTTTTATTTCCAGTTTCGTTGAGATAGATTTGATAGCCTTAGTGACACATCTGACAAAAAAAATATTGAGAAATACAGGAATTCACGTAAATAATACTCCCATCTCATTGATCTGAACCTCCTTTTCCCACTATATTAAGCTGTTAGTGCTATTATTAGTGGCTTGGTCTTCGTATTCTGAAAGCATAGCATGCTCAAGGTTGACTTTAGGCCCCTTGAACCATTTCCTTGCACTAATAATCCACCACAAAATAATACCAGCCATAGGGCCACCATATACCACACAAGTCCAGTTCATATCCGCTAGCCTGTTGACACGTTAAACTCATTCCTCTAGACTGCAGGAAGGTAATGGGGACTCATAGACTTACGTTAATTCAGAACCAGCAACCTTTGGGAAGCAGACGATTGGCAGCATTATCACCACAAAGGATACACCAGATATCCCTATGAAAGCTGTATACTTTCCTAAGTTCCACGGTCCAGCGCGGAATCTTTGACTGACAAATAAAACTCGAATAGCAATTGGTATTGAAAATGCGATTAACGCTGAAATACCGCCAATGGAAAACAATGCACCCATTGCGACATCACCAGCAAATATGAGGAGCGTAGATAGAATCCCTAGAACGCAGTTGAACCACACCGCATTGACTGGAGTCTGGGTATATGGGTTGATCGTTTTCCAGATGTTGGAAAAGGGAAAGCAATCGTCACGGGAGTAAGCATAGGCTACGCGAGAAGCGGATATCATACACGCTTGACCCATCGAAAAGCCACAGATCACAGTTCCAGAAAGAATTGCAAGGGCTAGTTTAGTTGGCATGACCTGGAATACGTATGAAGCCCATGGCTGTCCAAGTTCCGAGTCTATAACTTCATCTATATCTCTCACTGTGTAGGCAACCACGAGTTGAAGGAACCAGCCCATGATTCCACCAATCCCGGATGTCATGACGATCGCTCTTGGAGAAGCAATGTTGGCATTGGAACATTCCTCGCTCAGATGGAAGGGAGAATCGTATCCGGACATGATCCAAATAACGCTTAAAAATGACATCATAACTGCAAACCAATCTGGGTAAGAGGTACGGTTGTGGATCGTTCCCCAGACGTACTCTGACGAATTGAACCTAGGAACATTACTTGTTCCCACTGGTATTGCAATGATGACAAGGATCAAGCAAATTATATTGAATGTCGATCCGTATGAGTTCAGTTCTGCCAGCCATTTTGTTGACATACTACTCATTATTCCATGGATTATCATCAATAACGTTGTCAACAGAAACGTATGAACGGGTTGTGGAACATAACCTGGATTGGTAACTGATACGGCCGCTAGAATCATTCCGGATATGCCGTAGTTCACCGACGGCGCAGCCGTCACCTGGGCCATCCAGTTCGACCACCCTGTTATCCAGGCTGCAAATGGGCCCCAACCAGCCGGAGCGAGTACTGCAGCGGCATAATAAAGTCCTCCGCTGACCGAAAGGTGTCAGCGGAACTTCAACGGGTATAAAAATCTTTTGGTAAATGATATTCGGATGGAGGTTATTTGCTATACCTTGTTGGCATCGAAGAGCATAGCTCGGCCATGGACATGGCAACACATTGAAGAAATATCATTGCGATGAACCAGCCCCATACCATTGAGGTGCCGGCATATCCCATCCCTAGTATTTCAACTTAACATTTAGCGCACTCACGGGCCTTTGCAAGGCAACCAGGCAGGAGTGTCCCTTGACGTACCATAACTCATCGTACTCGCGTACGAAGGTAGTAGCCCAAGTATTGAGAAACTGACACAGAAAGTTGTCCATAGGGAGAACTCGCGCTTAAATTCCTGCTTGTACCCGAGGGAGACAAGCACTCGTTCATCATCATCCAGCTCATTTTGGCGGGCTGCCTCAGCGCTACCTTCAGGCGATATCGATGTTGTTTGAGAACCAGTGTGCTCCCCGGACAGCTGATCTTTGCTTAGAGTCATGGCTGGTGTATATACGCTCTGTATTCAGCGGCGACCCAGTCGATCAGCAAAGGAGAAGAGAGAGAGAGAGAGGGATAGGAACCCGACGATTCCAGCGCTGCGAGACACTCGAGGTATGCCACATTTTGTCCCATGCAACATGCGAGGACTCTGTGTGACCATAACTACCACCGGACAGGGAAGATGCCGTTTGCACGGCGTAACCCTCTGGGCCAAAGTACACTCCTCGGTATTTTGTGCCCATGTTGACTTTGCCTGGCATTTTAACACTAAGGAAGAAGCAATGGGAAACGGGCCCCCTGCTCCAAAGGGGTAAAACTCCATGTCACTAGCGGACAAGGTCGCCGATAGTATCTGGAATAACCCAATTATAGGGCCAGTCCAAACTAGAATAACTAGTGAACTGTTCCTTGCGATCCAGTGTTCAATCAAACCACGCTTGTCAGATTGCTCAAAAGAGGAAAAGGTGAATCATTTAGCAAGGTAGGAAACAGAGGAGACGCAAGCAGGTTAAGAAGCCCGGCTCGACGGCCGCTTGACCATAAGATATCCTCCTCGGCCACCATCGTGTGTACGGTTGTATGAAGTGCAGGCAGGCTGTGGCGATGTCGTGAAGGGACGTGCTCAATTAACTAGTATTATTACATAAGCAGCTTATCTAACTAGTTATCACCAAGTCAAATGTCTCGCTCGTCTTTTCTCTCCAGTTCTAACTTCGCCTAACCATTAGATATGGATAGGAACAATTGTTTGGACGGCGATAACCCTTTAGAATGCAAATATTAGCGGCCGGTGGTACCGTTCTGGGATATATAACTCATCATTTCTCCGGTCAGCCTGGGTGCGGACCTATAAAGTAGTTATGGTTGGGCATGATGGGGGCCCGCCTCCTTCAAAGAAATTGAAAACATCCAGCAATGGATACCAGGCGAACTCTTCGGGTTCTGTTCGTCATGATCATGAAAGACTCCTGTCTTTGAACAGATCTATAACACCTCCGCTCTCTCGGAATCAACAGCCTCGGAAACCTGAGAGTCCTTCGGGACCAGGGCTGCCATCCAGACAGAAGATTATTCCATCACCAATCCAACTCACTCATATCCGTGATATCAGTGATTCAACGGGATATAATGAAGGCTGTATCAAGCTCCGGGACATTCTTGGAGATCCCATGATTAAGGAATGCTGGCAATTCAATTACCTTTTTGATGTGGACTATATCATGGGTCAATTTGACCGTGATGTGAAGGATCTTATCCAGCTGAAAATAATTCACGGATCTTGGAAGAAAGAAGCTCCAAATAGGATTGCCATCGATGTAAGTGGATGATGTGATCCATGCACCAGAGCCCGTATCTTACTCTGGGATAGGATGCATGTAAGCGATACCCAAACGCCGAGGCAGTTGTGGCATATATGCCTGAGCCCTTTGGAACCCATCATTCAAAAATGATGATTTTGATTCGACATGATAACCTAGCACAGTAAGGTGCATCCCAGTACTTAAACTGACAGTGTTGAAATACTAAAACAATGGTTCTTTTTTTTTGCAGGGTCATAATTCATACTGCAAACATGATACCGAGAGACTGGGGAAATATGACCCAAGCAGTTTGGAGATCCCCGTTGCTTCCTCTCTCGCAGTCCCAGGTGGATGATACCTGTGGGGTGTTTGGAAGCAGCGCCCGTTTCAAGCGAGACTTGCTTGCTTATTTGGAGGCGTATAACAATAAAACGATCAATATTCTCATTCGCCAGCTACGACGATATGATTTTGGAGCAGTGAAAGCCCTGCTAATTGCTAGTGTTCCTACAAGATTGCCGGTTAAGGAATTTGACTCCAACAGGAGGACCCTCTGGGGTTGGCCTGCACTGAAGGATGCCATTGGTTCCATTCCTATAGACCGCAGCTCATCCCAGGCGCAGAACCCCCATATCATCGTTCAGGTAAGTGAGTTCAACATAAACCACCTTTATTGTGCCTGTTTTCCCTGACACACATAGGTATCGTCCATAGCTACGCTTGGACAGACTGATAAGTGGCTGAGAGAAACATTTCTACGCTCACTGTGCCCTCAACCTGAAGTTAATCAGAGCCGTTCTACTTCCAATGTGAAGTTTTCCATAATCTTTCCTACGCCTGATGAAATAAGAAGATCATTAGATGGTTATGGTTCCGGGGGGTCTATTCATATGAAAATTCAAAGCCCCCCTCAGCAAAAGCAGCTGGCATATTTACGCCACTATTTGTGTCACTGGGCAGGGGACGCTGAAGATCCAAAGAACTCTGATCCTGCCACAAAATCCGACAGGGTACGGGAGGCTGGAAGGAGGAGAGCTGCGCCTCACATAAAAACTTACATCCGGTTTTCCGATTCAGACATGAACAGCATCGACTGGGCAATGATTACATCCGCTAACCTCTCGACCCAGGCATGGGGAGCTGGGGCTAATACCCAGGGGGAGGTGAGAATCTGCAGCTGGGAAGTAGGGGTGCTCATATGGCCGGACCTTTTCCGCGAGGAAAATATAGAGGAATGCAGTGACAGCTCATTAACCAACTATGTCAAGATGATCCCTTGCTTCAAGCGCAATGTCCCCTCTGAGAAGCCACTACAAACATCGGAGAACGACTCCACAAAAGTGACCTTGCATTCGGACGCCACGAATATGACAAGGGTTGGACTGCGCATGCCGTACGACCTTCCACTCATTCCGTATACCCCTCAAGAAGTTCCGTGGTGTGCCACAGCTGTCCACCGGGAGCCGGATTGGATGGGTCAGACCTGGGAAGAGAGCGATTAATTGCATACACGGCAATATAACCCCGCAAATTGCTCGAATGTGCATATTATACCCCTGCCGGCATTAACGTTAACTTCAATAAATATATGTAAGCTCAAACCTTTTAACAGGGGAAGTAAAGAGGGGGTTTGACAGCGCAGGTATGAAACGCTGAATTCTATTATTTGGATATGTCGGCTCTAGAGTATTTACGCAATGAGACATAGCAGGAATAGAGACGCAGATGAACACGAGAAGAAGACAAAGACAACGACGAAAATAAAGATAACCAGAGAATACCACCCCTACCGTTGATCTTTTTACACACGGCAGTCAACATGATATCATGTCCCATTTATGAATTTATGTACCCAGCGTTAATATCATTTTACATGCCCCATGTTCATGGCTCCTCTTGCCTCTGGACTCCTTTATGTATGCTTTATTCTTTTTCTATTGAGCACCAACAGATTCTGGTTGCTTGGACTCATCAAAGCCATACTTGGCCTTTAGTTTTTCGACAAGCTCAATGTATCGCTCTTGCGCTTGCTCTGGGGTAACTCCTTCTTCAACAACTGCCTTCCACTTGCCATACTTGTATTTCCCCTACCAAACGACATTAATATATTATCGCGAAGCATTGGGTTGATGGAGTAGGTACCTTCAAGTCGAACATTCCTGGAGCAGGAGCCTGGTCGAATGGAGGGTCTTGTTTTCCTTGCTTGAACAGGGCATAGAGCTAGTTATCGTGACGGCCGTGTTAGCCAGCTGTTATCTTTTGCAACTGTAGATGTTCATAGTTGGGGGATATAGCAACAAAAGGAGGTTGAGATATGGCATACAGTCAAGAGTTCATCATCACTTGGCTTAGCGAGGAGTTTTCGGCTGGCTTCAGCGGCGGCTAAGAATTCTGGTGAAGACATGGCTGTATCTGGACCTTCTGCTTTCTTTCTTTCTTTTTATTTCGGCGTGAATCCGGATTTTTCTCAGGTACGGCTGACTCGGCAGGAGAGCTATTCGATCAGAGGAGGGGAGGGGTCTTTTTCTGTCATTCGATAAACCCGCGTCAATTAGTTTACTAACTAGATAACTCGAGCTCGTTGTCGGGGACAGGCTAGCGGGGTAGTATTCTTCTCTCTCTATCGGCGACCTACTCACTTTTCTGTCCGGCGGTCTCGTTTCTCGCGTCTCTTCTTCTGTTATCCTTTTTTTCTGGCTGTGTTTTGTCTGGCGAGAGGAGGGGCTTTGCTTTTATATTTATAGTCCATGGATCACGGGGAAGCAAGTGGCCCTAGCGCAGGGTGGTGCTTAGGCGGAGTTACTCGGAGTTACCTCAGCGCACGGCGAAAGCGACGAGGGCTCAAGGTCACTGGAAGTACTCCGTGATAGCCCTCATTGCGTCATGGCTGCAGGGATAACGGTGGTGTCTGGGAACACGGTGGCCTTCAGGTCCAAGGGACGGGACAGAGGGGCCGTGGAAGCTCGCCAGCTTGCAGGAGAAGTGCAACGCCCGCCGTTTGGTTTCTTTTCTTTCTATCTTTCTACCTTTCTTTCCTTTTTCCCCCATATTTTTATTTTTCTCTCTTAATTTTACATTTATTCTCCCCTCTTTCAATACTTGTGGGAAAGTTATCACGGGCAAAGGAGGCACAGCCTGTTTGCCTTTAGCGAAATAGGTTTTAACGTCTTTTCGCCTATATTCCTCTTTCTATTAACTATAGCACAAGTTCTGATAATAAGCGCTAGCGCTGCTGACTAAGTTATTATTTTAGGCCGATCGCTTACATCATACTCGATGCCAGCTCGATCGTCCCAGTACATATCCCACGCAGGCTGATGTTTTGACCCTGAATTCAATGCGTTTCTTGCAAGACTGGCTTTCTGAAGTATAATCTAATATGTGGACAGACTGTGTACCGAATGTACCGAATTTCAAAAATGCGCTAAAAACCGACCGACTCCAACAAGTATGCAGGATGCAAGAAGTAACAAGCGATGGAGAGAACCACCACGTCTACAAAGGAAATAAAATAAAAGGCACAAAAAGCTAAGGAAGACCAACCATATGAAGGGAAAAAGGTGCAACGAAAGAGAACATAAATAGGCATAGGCATCGTTAAGATGTTAAGACGATAACTGGCTTACCAGTCAACGGCCCATCCGTTCTTCTCCAGAAAGTCTTCACAGGCCGCTTTGAGCGCATAATTGGGTCGGAGGTCGCTGGCGGTCATTGGCACACGAGTTATGGGGTCAACCTCGGACTGCTGTATATGTTTCAAGATGCTTGTTCTTTCGAAAGAGTGACCTGAAGGCGTAATAACTGGATCATGCATAACTTCAAAGGTAATGTTGTCGATCAGGTATTCTGGCATATGCTGCAGACAAGGGTTAGTTACTGGGAGCTATTAAAAAAACCCAAGGAAAAGGGGGAAAAAAGAAGGGATTTGAGGGAAGTGCTAGAGGAGTAACATACCCTTTCCTGGAGCTCCGAATCCACCGAGGCAAATGCTTCCCGCACATCATTCAACTTCTTCGCATATTCTTCCTCCAATAACTTCTTGTCTTCTTCGTATCCAACCTTGCCCATCTCTCCTTTCTCAAATGCGTTATGCAAGGCAGCAATTTCTGAATTCAAATCCGCCTCCATCAACATTTCTACCTGTTTCAGAGTCTCGTTACGTTCTCTGATACGAGATGTTTCCTTCGCTGCCCAAATACTCTGCTTTGCACGAAGTATGATCCTAGACAGGGGCTCGGAGTTGGGATTCTTGGTCTCAAGACTGATCTTGTATGCAGCGAGCGCGATTTCAAGCGCTTCAGCAGGTCGTTGTAGCGCCAACAGGGCCTGGGAAAGGTAATAATTCGACTTGACACCTGCGGCATTCTTGGGCCCGTAGAGGTCCGCGGCGATTCGTGAATCGTGTTCTGCTCCTTCCCATAGTCCCAGCTTTATTCGGACGAGCGCGCGGTTATTGAAGAAGGTCGGGTCATTGGAATTTTTCTGGATTCTATTGACGGGATCGTGAGCATTGATGCTTCGCCAGGCACTCCTGAAATGCTATCAATCAAGGGACTGTCATACGCTTGAGAGTATAACTCCTCTGCACCTTCATAATCCCCTTCCTTATACCGTTCATTGCCTCGAGCCTTTAGTTCATAAGCCATCGCTGATTACTCGGGGTATCCGGACTGCCTGTTTCCAAGTGTGAGGTGTATCAAAGAAACTGGCCAGGCTTCTCCAGACTCATAAATACTCAAGCTTCGTGTAGTTAATGTTAATGAAAGCGCTGCGCTAAAAGTAGGAAGATAACGTTCAATGATAACACGTGGATATACATAGTATTAGAATCGCTGGAGATAGAATAAGAAGAGTGATAAAGGACAGGCGAAAGAAAACAATGAAAGAGAGAGAGAGGCGCCAGGCTGTATTTGCGCAAACGGCGAAGCGCACATCGCTCCGCCCACCGCAGGCGTCTTTTCCTCTCCTGGACGCAGGAAGAAGCAGGTGGAAAAACTCGATTAGTCATACAGGCACAAAATTATCCCGATGCCGAGGCAGCAGAGCCCGCCGGAGATACGAACGAACGATGCATAACGCCGAGGAGGGAAGAAAAGAGAGAGCAACTACTAGATACAACCACTATATCATAAAGGCTAAATTTAAAGGATATAGAGTATGCAGAAATCATTAAGTCGTGTGGGGAAAAAGTCAGATGCACCTGGAGAGCTGCCAGCATTCACAAGGTGCTCAGTCCAACTCTGAACCATTGAGTGTCAGTAGCTCAGGACGTTCCCTAGTCAGGATTATCATTCGGCGCAGGCCGGAGTAAACGAGAAGATGGAGCTTTACCGCTTTCTTCCAGCTCATCCGTGGCTGACACTTTTGATAAGCCAGAGAGTCTCACAGGGAGATGTCCAGCTGCTGCCAACCAGTCTTTGGTCGAAGCATCATGCATGCTTCGACTCTCAGGGTACTCTGAGCTAGCTGCAATACGCCCAACGCTCGTATCATTCAAGAGCTTCTTCAGACGTGTAAAGGGGTGTCCATCGCTGACTGCCATAACAAGACTTGCAATGAGAAGCAGCAGCCAGGAAAAAAGGAAGAATATTGCGGGGATAGCGAATCGCAGGTCGTAGGTCACTTTACGCTCATAAGCCCTTACAGTTCGAGTAAATGGTCCATCTCCAGTTGCCCTCTTTTCTAATGACGCACTTCCTCTCATGTTAGTGCCGACAGTATTGCTGGCCATGATGTCGGTCCAGATTAGACGAAGAAGCTTCGATGCATCGTCGGCAGTCTTGGATAGATTACGCCATTTGTTCCCAAGACCAACATTGCTTGCTCCAGAATATGAGATATAGTCGTCACTAAAACGATCGAAAAAGTTGTTGAGTAACAACTTCCCCATAATCCCATATGGCATTGTCGCTCCCGCAAGGTTGTCCAGGGGCCCACTAAATGAAGATAATGTGAGGCTATAATAACTGAATGGCAGGTAAAACGAAGGGGCTCGAGTGAAGTTATAACCAGGAGTGCCTTTATATGAATTGTCAACGATACCCCAAAGCGGTCCTGTGAAGGCACCTTCGGAACCTGGATGCCACCAGTCTTCCAATGCCCAGAGCGGGTGGTCATCTGGGTTAGAATATTTCTTGTCTTCTATTTTCTTCACAGAAAGAGACTCCAATGAGGCCGTTCCATTCATTACGAAGGAGACAGTCTTCACTGATGATTTGACAGCACCAGCGCAGGTGTATATGGGTTTTCTCCATTTTGACCCAGCTTCTTTGAATAGTGGATTTCCCTCATCTACCCTCGATGCTGCTCCAAAAAAATGACCACACTCAACGTTATATTCATTTCTGATGGAAGCATCATTATATTGCCCTAGGCATCTGCCCTTCAGTTCGGAAAAGAGCCCAATGGAATACCAATAAAGATCGTCTTCAGCACTTTTAATGGTACGGTTGCCCACGGTCAGAGTTCCATTATTGTCGAACGACGCGCTTGGCAGGTTTAGCCAGGCACCATTCGGAGACAGAGACTGAATATCCAGGGTGACAAAATATGGCACGCTACCAGCAATAGGGTAATGCTTTCCGCGAGTAACGTTGAAGCCGTATCCCACTGCACTGGAATTCCCATCTGTGAGGTTATACGTAATACCAGCCAGGAAATTGTTAAGCCAAGCTGATCGATCCGCCCGAAGTTGAGGGTCCGGAGATGCATACGTGATGTTTGGCCAGCCTTCATAAGGATCTCCATGTCGCAGATTGGAAAACCCGCCTTCGTCTACGAGTTCTATTGAACGGATAGGCGGTGAAAAGGTTCCATTTCGAGTATCAGCCAGGGTAAGCTCGTAGGTGAGATTGGTATTGACACAGGATATTTCGGGCTCCACCCATAGAATATCTTCCTCCCATTCAGCGCCAAAAGGCATTCCTGACGGCACACTATGGTTCCGAAAACCAATACCGCCAGAGTGCATATCGGCAATCACGCCTTCAACTAAAGTTATATCGTCTCTTGAAATTAGGGACTCAAGAGATAGCAACTGCCCTCTAGGGTAAGGTTTGTGATCATCAAAGTATTCAGAAGTATACGGCAGCCAAAACCGGTATTGGATATCTAGTATCCCGGCTATGCTTGATTTCTTGGAGACGCTTGAGAACATTTCCGTAATGTTCTCAGGAATCCTCGTGGTGGCAGTAATATCAGGGTTTGCAGACCGGTTACCCTCGCCCTGGTTAATGACTGCTCCAGGAACAATGGCTCCGGGGCAATAAGCGCTGGTGATAATACAATCACGAGATAATGGCATATCAGGACGACCTATTGTGTTCTTGCCGAAGTTGGAGAGATCGGGTGCGTAGTGGAAGCTGACATCACGACTCTCTGCTGGGCGAATATGGTCACCAAGTCCCAAGGGCGTCACAACTCCAGATACAACACCAAGGAACGCAAGCCCAATATTGGTGTAGGCCAAGGTCGAAACACTCCAGTAAACATGTTTACCCGCAACAGAGTCCGTCCGAAGTATGCTCGGCCATAATGTTGAATGTAGCTGACGGGCTAGCACCGACCTGGCGCAGTTTTGTTAGGATATAGTAGGAGATGAAAGGCGTGGATGTGGTAGTAAACGCTGGATGGCTATTCAAAGCTTACCAGGATGCCGCAGATAGCTTATCGCTCAGACGGTGAATCAGCACGACAGCTAGAAGCAATGGGAACGTGACGGTAACTATGAGAGGCCAGTGGATTAGAGAACTACCCTGGAGGCGCAGGAGCGGTTAATCATACGAACAAAGTTTCCAAACGCTATCAGACCGGAAACCCGACCGACTGTTAGCGTCGTGATACTTTCCATATTGCACAAAGCCTTCCGGGGATCTTGAATCCCGCTCAGAACCCCCAGTTGTTTTTCGAAAGAGCCTCAAGAAAACCCATGAAAAACGAGGCTCTTTATGAGAAAAGTTGTCTCCTCCTATTTATTTATATCTCTCACGAGGCCTCGGTCCACCCGATGCCGATCGCGCTACTATTGGTCTTGGACCAGGAATCGAACCCGACGGCGATTTCATTTCAATTGGAGGTATCGATTTGTATTTCTGAAAACAAATATGTGCTCCAAATAAAAGAATATCTGGAGCCCACGTCACAAAATATCGCACTGAAATCTTGTCACAGCACAGAATCAACATATGGCGTGCTCCGTACTGGGTATGTAACCTGTTGCTATTGAGCTCAAAGCAAGTACAGTCTGAGGTTGCCTTTGAATTGATGGTTGAGGCCGAGGAAGCCTCGTATTGAGCCGCCTCGAAGGCCAGAAAAAGGAAGGAGGCTGAGATGTTGTTGCCCTTGCTGCATTTGGCTAGTCCGCACCAATTACATAATCTGTTTAGATAAGCATAATCATGATTACCTCATCGTTTCGGAAATTTATGGTTTTCACGTGATATAGATTTGATTATATAATAAGGGGAGGGCCAAGCCTTGAAAATCCCAAGCGAGTCCTTGCAGTAGTAGGTACTGCAGTTATTATCATCACCGTCAACTACACGGTCGTCTTTTCCATTATGACAACTTCTTGTTGGCCTTACCTGGCCGTCAACTGCCGGTTAAGGCCTTCCTACCCTTCAATACTCTACATCCCCGCTCATATTCGGTAGGGAATGTACGGACTATGCGCCATTCCTGAGAGAGACGATGGCGGCGGAGGATGGTCACAAAATCTTCGCTTAGCTGAGGCGCTGAGAAGTTTAGTTGCATATCTACTACCTATTTTTATAACAAGGACTTGGCTCTAGCTAGCTCTGAAGTCAGGGTCGAACAAGCTCAAGCCAGCCTAGGAGACGGGAGCTGGGAAGTTTAAATAACAGCTATCCTTTGGTTGGTTTGTTGCCGTGGCTCGTTGAGTCGGAGGCCGGCATGCGGAAACAAAAAGCCACCTCAGGGGAGCACCGCTGGCAAGGCTTGTGGTCTGGCTCTCTGGATAGCTGAGCTTTGGCTGGTGGAGGTGAATGGGCAGTTGTGTTGGGATGCGTATCCCAAGCCTAGCTGTACGGAGTAGCAACAAGCGAGTCCTGACTGAAATGTTCACAGTTTTGATATATGGGGCTCTTTGATCACGAATCGTTTAGCGAACTCCAACGACTCGACAGGGGGTAAGCAAACCGTAAGGTGAAGCGAGATATGCTACCTATATAGGGGTACAGGCGCCTGATATATATAAATAGCTATATATATGAGAGCTAGCCTGTCTAGCCTTCATTTTGCTCTCTATGTTCTCATGAGACAACCATTGGTGCGAGCAGGAGTTTCCTCTCTGCATGATTCGCGATGGTTTCTAGTTTTGTTGCTACCACCTTGGCTGTTGGTCACAATGCGGTCAAGTCGATACTCTTCCGAATCGCAGGTCTCTGCCTGCAAGTGGGCGTGTTCAAGTTCTTTGCTCTCATCGCATCAGTCAAAAATGCTTTCACAGCGTATCTGATGTTTACAGAAGACTATATTCAGAGAACACTCTTTGTATTTTCTCGGGGATTTACGCATCAAGCTGTCATCGTTTTCTCCTTTACTATCCTTTTACTCACTTCCGGGCTGTACGACACCTTACTCTGGGGTCTTGATTCACCTGGCTACATCCCCCTCAAACGAAATGTCACTGCTTCCACCCTTAAGGACCAACTGCTTAGGAGACCCGGGTATGTGGTGTTCTCCTCCACAAGACCAGAAGATTTCGATACGCTTGACCGTCATTTTGCAGATAGCATGAACGGGAATTTGTTTCAGTCACATCTTAATTTCTCATTGACCGGCAACGTCGACTTGGGTAAACCTGAGCCCGTACCTCCAACCCAAAAGTTCAATCTACAGAAGAACATCGGACCACGAATATGGCTGGACAGCGAAGGGTTCTCAGTTTCACCCGATACCTACGTCACCACCAGCTCGATATCCAATCTTGAGAGAAAGGAATACTATATTTGTCCTTGGGTTACAGTAACGGAGGGTGAATCTGCCTCGTGGGAATGTTCTTTTGACAATATCCATGCAGGTCAATTTGTCAGAACTCCGCTTGGTCAACCCGAAATCCACTGGGATGATGTTACAGACCAGAATTACCTATCTGAATATATGCGGCCGAATCGAGAGGATAACCCTTGGTCCTTCTTGGGTTCAGGAGGTGACACCGCCATGATGAAGCAAATGTTCACCGTCACCAAGGGCCGGAGAAGACATACCTTCCTAGAAAACGTGATGAAAGTATCGGCGGTGTATGATCACAACCAGCCCTTTCCGAGAGACTCTGTACATGATCTGGTCAAGCGGACCTGGTCTCTAGATCCAAGTCAATGGGATGATCCGTATATCACCAAAATTACTGAGAAGATCCGACACGGCGTATCGAACAACACTAGCTTCCAATTTGGCTCTGTTCAAAAGTCCGGGAATAACACCGTCCTTCAGTTCCACTACGAATATTTGAACCTAGTCGCAACGGAAAGCGTGGTTGTATTTTCACTATTCCGAATATCTTTGATCAATATCACCATCATTCGCTCGGAGACACTCCCTGAACCTGTGAAACCTCTGGAGGCTTGTGACCATTACTACCATAACCGAGCAACAGGTGGGAAGGTATATGGCACCTCATGCTATGAACAAGGGAGTTCAAACAAGACCGGAGCTCGATTCTTTGGTCAAATCGATAGCTCCTCTGTTCTCGTTATTGGCGGAACCCTTGGAGACGGCAGCACCAATGTTAGTTCTGTGGCACTCAATCAAAAGGGCTTTCAATGGGTCGCAAACAATACGGAGAAGCTGGACAACTTTGTGCTGTCAAGGGGCTACATAATGGCCATCGACCCAGGCCTGGTCACGTTGGAGACGAGCAGGGTGCAGGCAGCTATGTCACCCCTTCAAGTCCTTCTTGTTATCCTGCCTATAATCTTCTGTGCTGCTATTTGGGTCTGGCTATGGCTTCAAGTAGACCCTCATTACTCCAGTTCTCTTCTTGCCAATCTTTATGCGACAACGAATTTCGGGGACACGAATACTAGCGCTGATCCAGGGTATATACACACGATGCCTGACATCGGTTTGGTCAAGAAGGATGGACAGGTTCAGATGGCCACTTCAACGGGAGTTTTTATACATAACCATTCAGAACCTGTAGGAGACGTGGGTATAGAGCATCAGCAGACAGATCCTCGGGGGCACTATACCCCTATCCAGAATCCATGAATAATGGGCTCATAAAATGCAGTAGTGATACTCTATTTGGTACACTCTAATAACCTCTAATCTTGGTTAATTCCCAGTCCCTTCACTTCAGCCATAGTGTATGTAGTAAAAATATGCCGATAAGCAAGACCTAATGTGACATGAGATGCCTTATTCAAGGCTCTCCTCGACCTCTCGGACTACCTTCCGTACTCCTTCGATTTCATGGGCAAACCGACCCAGGAACATGCCATCGACAGCCTTCCCTAGCCCGCCTTGCGCCCAAAGCCCCGGCCCTGCACTGCCTCCATATATCACTCTGATCTCCCCTCTGCTCGAGCCGCCGCGCACCCTGTCGATGACGCTCCGTATCCCCTGAACCACGGCAGATATATGGTCGACGCCAGCTGGAACTGGCTGTCCAATTGCCCATACTGGCTCGTAGGCAAAGATACACGGCGCATCCTGCGGAATCGCATCAAGCACTGCTCTGACCTGAACCTCACACTCTTTTACCGCCACTCCAACAGCCTCTGACATCACAGGCCCAGGGACGGGTATTTCGCCCACACACACAAGTGGGACCATCCCCTGTGCGCTGACGGCTGCAGCTTTCCGCCCGACCTGTTCGTCTGTTTCCTTGAAGATTGCCCGGCGCTCTGCATGGCCCAATTCGACTATCGACACGTTCATCGAGCGTAGACTGGCGGGCGACACTTCCCCTGTATACGGGCCCGCAGCCTCCCAGAAGCAATCCTGGGCTCCGAGCAGGAAGGAAGGTGGTTGCGACAAGGGTCCCGGGACAGATTCCGCCGTCGACTGCTGCGCACCGGGCTGCTTGGTGGTGAACTCCTTGACCACCTCAGAGCATGGATAGACGGTCAGGAAGTCCGGGATGAGGGCGAGTAGGAGTTTTGATCTGTTTCTGGCGCAGACGATCTCGTTCCGTGGCTCGAGCAATTCTCGTAGGTATTCCAGCGTCCGCGAAGGGGTGAAATACATCTTTAACGAGATTATTAGGAGTGTCTTCGGGAGAGCTGGGTATGTCACCCCCGTTGTTGCTGGACCGGCCATGCTGCTGCCTCTGTCCTCGTTTCCTCAAAGAGTCCTCCCTTTTGCGCCGCCTAGGAGCCATCCGGGTTGCCCGGTCTATATACAGGTCTCATCCGCCTGCGGCAAAGCTGCCAGCTGCCATCGGCGTCGCTCCGGACTGCCTTATGACTACGGGACGCTGCCATTAGCTAGTGAAGCCCGAACAAGCTTTATCTGGAGGCGGTTTTACTGGATGCAGTATCCCGGTGGCCATCGATACAAAGGAACGTCGCCCTAAGTCTTCTTCTCACCCTCTAGCTGCGCTGGTGTCTTTGCCCGTCGCTTTTGCGAAGACGTTCCTCTCGCTGTCACTTGTCGCAGGTGGCTGAATCTCTTCCCGTCGGACAATGGTCTGAGCTACTTTAATATGACGGCCTGGGGGTTGACGTCGGGTTCCACGTCCTTGCCGCTGGCCAAATGGAAGCCTGCATCTGGGTGCCTATCAGAATCCCCTTTGCCTCCATAACCATTAATCGGCCCATCTGCGGTATTTGTCCGGTGGTACAGATTATATAACGGCCTGGGAGAGCGAGTAATTCTGCGTACGCCTTCCGATGTGCAGCGTCAAGGTGGAGATGGGATTGTCATCATAATCTCCATATCACTCCACTATCAGGGTGTAGTCGAGAGAACGGAGCCCAGGACGGCTATTTTTCCTTTTGGTTATGATGGAGACAAGCACCTATGACGGTCTGACCCGCGAGAGAGGTGACAGTCAAATGGTTCTCTAACACAGGTTGACCCGAGGGGATGTTACTTGCTGAGATATAAATACGGCCAACATCCCCCCTCTATTAGGCCATACTTCTTCCATACTTCATCCACTACTATATATACAAATCACCTACAAATCAAGAAGAGACATACCCCCCCCCCCCTCCGAAAGCGAATACCTGACGCAAAAACAACCTATCATTCCGAAAAGATGGCTGCCTCTCTCCCACCTCTCCGCATCGCCATGTGCTGCGATGATGCCGGCCACTCCTACAAGGAAGCTCTTAAATCCCATCTCGAGAAGAACCCTCTCGTTTCTTGCGTAGTGGACGTCGGTGTCCCATCTCCCTCTGACAAGCGAGCATACCCTCACGTCGCCGTCGAGGCTGCCTCCTTGATCAAGGAAGGAAAAGTCGACCGTGCCCTTATGATTTGCGGCACTGGCCTCGGAGTTGCTATTGCTGCCAACAAGGTGGCTGGCATCAGAGCCGTCACTGCCCACGACCCCTTCAGCGTCGAGAGATCCGTCCTCAGCAACAACGCCCAGGTTCTCTGCATGGGCCAGCGGGTCATCGGTATCGAGCTGGCTAAGAAGCTGGCTGCCGACTGGTTGAACTACAGATTCGACGAAACCAGCGCTAGCGCAGAGAAGGTCAAGGCCATTGGGGAGTACGAGGCCAAGTTTGGAGAATCAAAATAAAATGGACTGGATGTCATGACTTTCTTCTTCGGCTCTTTTTTGGGATAGACATTGGGATATACATGTTTTGCTTATGCTTTGCCCTGCCTTCATGTCGTGTTAAATTAGCCTGTAGCGCCTGGGGCGCAAGCAACAAAAGCAAGCTTGATTAGGTTTGCTGTCCACAAAAATGTATATACCACCTGCATGTGAACATCACTTCCTCCTTCACCCTATCTTGATTCCTCTGATGGTTAGATGTCTTTGCAAGGTTGTTTTAGAAGTCCAAGGGACCCATGGCTCAGTTGGATTACGTAATATTTAGCCCTGTTTTAGTGGTCCACCAACCATGACACCTTCACCTCGCTCGTTAGTTACAAGACGACCAAGCGGAACCAAAGGGATCTCTCTCTGCTTTGCTGATGAAGTTATAGCGAGCTCGCAGCCTCCCTTGCAGCCAGCATGATTATAAAACAGCTCCGCCTTGGCTCAATGCCAATGGCCGGATTCCGCGCTTCAGCAACCTGCCCCTTCTCACGATCCCACGTAATACGGAGCCAGTCCCTGCCGCGAACTCATCTCCTACGTTCGAGCTCTAGAAATGCATCTACTGCTGCAAGTGAATCCACGGCGAACACCGTGATAAATGCCCCACCACGGCCCAGACGAAAATCCAGAGGTATTGTTTGGACTACACTCATGGTGCTTGGGTTGGGCTGCGGATATATCTACATTACAGACACACGAGCTGGGGTACACCAATGGCTAGTACCACCTATGCTGCGATGGATATATCCAGACGCCGAAGACGCTCACCATTTTGGAGTGGACATGCTCAAATCACTGTACCGATATGGCCTGCATCCGCGTGAAAGGGGGAATCCTGATGGAGATGGCAAATTGGTGACCAAGGTTAGACCAAGCAGAGGCATCGCAGGACTCTTATCCGGCTATTGAATCACGCCTTCCTCCTGATGCTAATAATACGTTGATACAGGTCTTTGGATATACGCTGTGCAATCCAATTGGTATTTCTGGTGGTCTTGATAAGGATGCGGAAATTCCATCTCAGCTATTCGAGCTTGGGCCTGCGATCGTCGAGGTTGGAGGGACCACGCCTCTTCCACAGGCAGGAAACCCGAGACCGAGAGTATTCCGTATACCGTCACAAAATGCGCTAATTAATCGATATGGACTCAACTCAAAGGGAGCGGATAACATGGCCCTACTTCTCCGACAGAGAGTTCGCGATTTTGCCTACTCCGCGGGTTTCGGTCTAGGTGATGTTGCTGAACAACGGGTCCTAGATGGAGAGGCTGGTGTGCCCCCAGGAAGTCTGACAGAGGGCAAGCTTCTCGCTGTGCAGGTAGCCAAGAACAAAACCACCCCGGATGGTGACATTGAGGCCATCAAGAGGGATTATGTCTACTGCGTCGATCGTTTGGCAAAATACGCTGATATACTGGTTGTTAACGTCTCTAGCCCAAATACCCCTGGACTACGGGATCTACAACGAGTTGAGCCTCTTACAAAGATATTGACGGGTGTCGTTCACGCGGCAAAGCGAACTGATCGGCAGACTAAGCCATTTGTAATGGTCAAAGTCAGCCCGGATGAGAACTCGGAAGAACAGATCAATGGTATCTGTGATGCTGTGACCAAAGCCGGTGTCGATGGTGTTATTGTTGGAAATACTACAAACCGTCGACCCGAGGCTATACCTAAGGGCTACACCATGTCTAACGCAGAGCAAAACACCCTTCTCCAAACAGGTGGGTTTTCTGGGCCCCACCTAGTCGACAATACAGTGGCATTGGTTGCCAAATACCGTGCCGAACTCGACCAGCGTGCCACCCCTGTAGGCCCGGCTGTGGACGAAGAGAGTATACCAGCCACCGATATTGTGGCTAACCCGCCTCGAAAAGTCATATTTGCTTCCGGCGGCATCACAAACGGTGCGCAGGCACTTGCGGCAATCAATGCCGGCGCTGATGTTGCCATGCTTTATACCGGTTTGGTGTATGGCGGAAGTGGGACGATAACTAGGATGAAGGAGGAAATGCGAGCGGCTATAAAATCCAACTAGGGGCCGCACTTTAATAGACTGTCGGTCACTGGTTTGTCCGGCATAACTATTAGCCACATGGAGATGGTTTGCTCAGCCTAGCCTTGTACACATATTTTGTATTGTACACTCAAGAGTCAAAAGAATGAAAAACAAGCCTTCCGTCGTAGTCAATTGCTTATTGCATGCATAATTTAAAATATATATATATATATAACTAGGCACTGGTAGGAGGTAAGATTGAATAGCGTCAAAATAAATGATTATTGGGAGGACAGGAATTTATCGGCAGGAGCAATTAAATCAAACTCGATAGCTGATCCGCGTCAGATATCGAGATCTGCTAATCCTTCTCCCTCAACATACGCAAGGCCATAGCATTCTCTCCTCACAGCGTCCAAAACCTCCCTATCTCCATTTGTTAACCTTTTCAGATATTCCTCTAGGATATAGATATTATCCGTCCACATCTGTGCTTCTTGCTTCCATCTTGCAATATCTGTCTCCTTTTGCGCAATTGAGCTCGGACCATCCCCTTCAGACCGTTGCTTGATGCTGCTCTCCAGACACGCGATTTCAGTTTCAAGCTGGTCCTTCTTCTTCATCAACGCTATTCTTTCCCTCTCATTATCTTCCCGACTCCCATTACGGTTATTTGCGTCCTCTAGGCGTTGTTCTTCCTTGAGTGCCATAATCTTGCTTTCCAGGTCCCCTGTTGACTTCAGCAATTTCTCTACCTCCTTATCCAAGGTGTCTATTGTTTTCTCGCGAGCTTTCTTCTCTTCACCGCCCCATGCCCAGTACCAATTCCCACTGCCAATCTTTTCGACGTGGAGTTGGCCTTCGTCACTCAATGCTTGGATATGCTCCTTGACCTGCATACCGTTGATTGATGCAACTGGCGGGAGTGTTTTTTCCAAGTCCTTGAGGGTGTGGCATGTTCGTGATGCTTGAAGGTAAGCCAGGATACGGCGTTGCTTCTCTGCGGCTGATACTCCAGCCTTTGGTGCCTAGTGGCATTATTTGGTTAGTATATTACTGTTAACCCGCCCCTGTAAATTATAGTACAATAAAAATAAAGAAACGCTTAACAGGCAATACTAACCATGTCAAGCAAGTAAATAAGTTGATAGAAGCGCCGAAAACCTAATTATAGCAAAGATGAAGGGCATGCGATTCACTGAGTGTTGGCGTAGTAGAGATGATGTATTTGAGGTTGAACGCAGGAGACTTGATGTTCAATTAAACTTGGTTCTTTCTCAACCACTATTCCCCATTGGGACAACAATATCTAGCTTTCCTCCATTTTCCTTGCAAAACGGCTTGCAATGGCGTTATTTTTCTTCTTGCTGGTGATATCAGGTACTGTAGATAATTTTTCAACACAAAGCAGATGTAAACTATCATGGTATTTTGTGGTTCACCTCGCGGGATCGTCGTGAGAGAAAGCTCAAAGGTTTTGGTATCTAACGGGGTATTGACCCTAACGCAGAATGCGACCCTCCTCAGCTCGATATATTTCCTCACTCAATAGAAGTAGCTGTGCGGATATAAATGCATAGGTTATCCAAGCCCTTCTGGACCTATACAAAGCACAGGTGATCGACGCTTCAAGGACTTTCCTACGGGTGTTAAGGGCCTATAAACCAACTTGCACAGAATGGAGATACCTGTGACATCCAGGAACATCTTGCCATAAGTCATGGAGAGGAGGGTCAGAGAAAGATGGCCTTCCTAAACACCAATGAGACATCATCTGCAAGCCTAACCAATGGCAAATACACCCAAGCCTGGTGTCATTTATCAGAGCAAGTTGATGCGATGCGTGGTGGTCAAGTAGCCGGTTTCTCTGACGCCGCTCGCATGGTCGACAAGCTACTTAACCGCCGGCGCTTTTTGCTCTTTCGCTGACGTGACAAAGTTGTAGCATCATCAAAACCCCCGCTACTATATCCATCGATTCGAGACCGCGTACTGAATGCGGAAACCGACGTTTCACGGGATCTGACAACCGGTGCTTCCGCCACCCACCCAGGATCACTGGGTACTGCACCCTCTACCAAGGCCATATCTCCTGTTTCTTCAAGAGCCTCTACGGCAGTCTCCTCCAGCAAGAAACCCAGCGCGATCAAAGCGGTTTCGTCCATACTACGCCATGCTGACTGGCCACGATCGACCGTTTTATTTGCGTACAGATCTGAAGTATATGCATGAATAGCCTTGAGCAGGTCAGAATCTGGCAAGGGCTGGTCTTCGGGTATATCTTCGTTGGCAAAATAGAAATCATTTTCCATATACCTTACGGGGGCATTTTGCTTCCGAAATAGGACTTCTTCGGGAGTGACAGCTGGGAATATTCGTGTCGAGGTTATACCGTGATAGTCATTAGCTAGAGTCGAAGACTTATTAGAAGATTTATCGGTTGCGATGCGACCTTTCCACAAAGCTGTTAACTGGGCTGAAAGTAAGTGTTTTTGATCGTTTAGGTTGCTAACCTGCAACAGCATCATAAACATTCGCATGTCGGTACTTTGCTCCCCTCCTGGCACTAGCATCTATGGGCCCAAGTCTGGCAGACTTCTCATCTATATCTCTATCCATCGTGGTCGTGCTTTTTATAACGGCATCCTCATCGTCCTCCACGGCAAAATAAAATAAACGCTTAGTCATCCTCTGCTTGTGCTTTCGGTCTTGGCAAATATTCATTGTCAGCGATTGAGCCGCATTGGAAACACACATCAACGCCAGATTAGAGACGACGACGACGAACCTGACGAAGCTGATCTACTCAGATGAATGAATTCGTATATCCTCAATAGATCTCAAGGATCTATTCACCCTTTTCAATTCCACTTTGCGCAATGCACTCGTCTTGTCCATGGCCTCGCCGCTGCTCCAGGCATCCGCTTCTCCGCAGGCAAGCAGCATAAATCCCAGCCGGGAGCTGCGGATATAGCCGAAGGGACCCCCGATATACGCCATTCAGATTTTGATTTTGAAGATATTTGGGCACATAAAGCCGGAGTTAATGTTTTGGCAATAGATCAATATGAAAAGCGGTAGTATGTTTCGCCACGATATCCCAAAGTAGCCTTTGAACCCATCAGCACTGAGAAGCTACAAGTGGCTAAGAGAATCAACCTTAGTATGGTTTCGGGCGGCGCAGATACCTCTATTCATTTATGGGATTTAGAAGGCCGAGGCACGGAACTTAATTACCTTCATCAACCAGTTGCTTCTGTCTCAAAGTACGTTCTGCCCGGTTTCCAAACTAAACTTATCGACTGTCACTCACGACAATTATATAAAAGACAAACAAATGCATCAACTCATACCCATGCACTGACGTCTCTCTCGATATACCCATTCGATCCTACACCATCAACCATACTGAGTACTTCACATGACGCTACGTTGAAACTATCAAGCCTCGGGGAATCGGATATCGTTCCGGTGCATACATTCAATCTTCATTCAACGCCGTATTCTCATTCGTTGTCAGCACACCAGGCATCTCACTTACTTATTGCAGTTGGTACATCAGAGAATGCTATACGGCTATTAGATCTTCGTTCAGGGTTATCAACCCACGCCCTCCCAGCCCATACTGGAGCTGTTATTTCCGTCCAATGGGCACCGCATAACCCTCATTTAATTGCCTCAGGCTCGAAAGACAACCGAGTCATCATTTTTGATGTCAGAAGGGGTGGGCGTAATTCGGCAATCGCTTCCTTTGACATGGACGACTCAATGGGTATCCTGTCGCTTGAAAGCCCCGCTAGCCAGCAAACCAGTCAGAGTGGAAAACTATTCAGTACTAGCTCCCGCGCCCATAACGGTACGGTAACCGGGGTTCGATGGACATCAAATGGCAGTCATTTATTAAGTGCAGGTCAGGACTCACGCATTCGGGTTTGGGACGCTTCCACTGGTGCGAACACCCTTATCCATTTTGGGCCTCGCATAAGGAATAGTGCTTCTCTGCACCTTGCTGAACGAGCCCCTCTTGTTCTGCCTGAAAATAACAGTGTTGTGACCCTCTCACAAGGTCACGGAGCGGTTCTCTGGCCAAATTATAACGACCAAGACGACAGAGGCGAAATCTTCATGTTTGAAATTCACGATGGCACCCAAATCAAACACCTACGCGTACCAGGATTAATATCCAGAGAAAAACCACGTGGAAGACCAACGGCTCTGAGTGCTGCGAGAATTAACGCCCTTGCTTGGCGGGGTAACGGAGCGTCTGGTGAAGGGATGGAGATGTTTTCGGCTCATGGAGATGGTACAATCAGATCATGGACCTCTCGAACAGAAGAAGACGAAGAGTTTGAAGCAGAGGCTGTAAACAATGAGCAAGAAGAGAAGAAGAGGAAAAGGGATATACTTGATGAAGTATACCGTGGTCTTATGCAACCGGGTGTCACCTTCACCTAAGGAAGACGACTCATGTCGTTCTGGAATAGATAATAACGGTAGCCAAAGGAAATGCGGAAAAAAAAAAATACTATAATTATGATCGACGCAGGGATCGAACCTGCGATTTTCCGCGCAACTTTATATGTAAGGCGGACGCCTTAACCACTGGGCCAGTCGATCCACATAATGGCAAAAACTTACTATCTATAAATAAGCCGATGTCATAACGCTTAGTAAGACACAACCCCCTGGCTTATCTTATCCCCCTACATTCGGTAGGGGGTGGTTGGTCTTGGAACTCTAGGTTACCGAGTTGTGAGATACTACACATAGTTGATCCATCATGAAACAGAGCTACCATGGTATTAGGGCTTAAATATCAAGTAGCGGGAAATAACCAGTTATACAGGAGCCTTTAGATCTGCGTGGTCAAAGTGTTAAGTAGTTAATATAGTGAACAGTAAGATAGCGTTGTCCTATTTAGAGCTCTGGAACAAGATTTCCGAAGGGCCTTTTCATTTCATGATGTTTTTGTTGTTATTTATTTGCCAGTGAAGGCTTTAGCTAACTAATGTTGAAGCTAAATATAAGGAAGCTAACTCTTTCGAGTGTCCTTCATCCCTACAGATATTCCAAACTCACATATATCTATCCCAGTGACCAAACAATGCAGAAAGGTATCCTAGCTTAAATATACATAAAGTAAAAGGTTCAGTAAGCATGAAGCAGGTGTTGCAAGGCAAAAGCAATAGAGATGGTGTTCCTCACCCCCTTCTCCATGAAATGCTGCAACAACGCAGAGCATGAAAGGGGGAAATTACTCGGCCCCCCAATAATATAAATGGCCCTTGCAGATCGAAAATGGCCCCCAAACTTATGCAAGCTGAAGCTCAGCCACCAATAGACCTGAAAGTGTTTCAAACGCTAAAATGTCTCCAGGCTGGCGCTGATTTGTGAAGGGGCAAGGTGCGTTTTGTGTAAAGCTAAAAAGGGGGTATATTGAATAAATATTATGTATATAGAAGGATTCATCATAATGCCTTCCGTTGAATAAAAATGTCGCCAACCCAGGTCCACTGGGTAGTTTAATGCTGCTGTAGTGATCGTAAAAGGAGTGCCGGCCCCCCGGCCTTAGTGATAGTATCAAACTAATCACAAGGCTGATAAATTGATAATTATCGTAAGACATCGCCTCGTCTTCAGTGTAACTTGAACAAATCCAGGAAAAGTAAAAATTAGATCAGGAGGAAATCCCAGCCGTTTTGTTGCATGACATCTCGCCAGCGGACAATACTGTTAGTTATCAGCGGAAGCTCCCCATTAGATCGCTGGGAAAATGCTGTTGGTTGTTCTGCCTCCATGAGAGCTTTCTCGTCTGCAAGGCGCCAGACTTCCTGAAGCACGCATATCATGCGGCCAAAGCTTCCTAGCTCGGCCTGCTGACCCATTTGCTCTATTCGTTTGCTGAGTGTCTCGCGGAATGTACTTCCAGGAGTCGCAAGGGAGCCGCAAATGAGTAGTGGCCAGACAAGGGAGGTATCAAATCCTTCTGGCCCACTAGGAATAAGGTCAAGCAGTTCCGCAGCATGTGAGATCAGGCTAACGGTGCCTGGCTGGTCGCGCTTGGATCCAGGAACAAGACTGCAAAGATAGACACGCGCGGCCACTCTGAATAGGGCAGTGATGTTTTTAGAAAGCTGCTGTGGTAGCAGAGCCCCGTTCTCTGAGAATGGCTTGACGAGCGATCCCGCCGGTGGTTCAGTATGGTCAAGCTGTTGAGCAAGGTTTGTGACATGGCCACAAAGGCTGGCATGGTCAGTTCGGCCCTCGATACACAGAGCATCGAGACACGAAATTTCTGCAATCAGGTACATGACTCGGTCTTCGCAACCCATTAGTTCACAAAGCCCGGCGCTTGATCCACCAAAAAGTTTTGTTCTGTATGTATGTGCGAACTGTGGCATCTGGCCGAGCATTGTTGATCCCAAGATGTCGATCCAGGCAGCTAGGCTCATGCTGAAGGGCGGATGAACAGCGCCATGGTCGGATTCTAGAAGGCGGTGGGGAAGGTCCAGTTTGTGGATCAAGCCCGTGGCTGCTTGGAAATGTTGGTGCCACGGAACATCGGGGAGAGTGTCGTTTGCACGACCAACAGCGCATTGGAAGAATGCCATACTGAGAGTTGCCTCGAGAATTTGAAGATGATCGGTATCCTGGTTCAGGGACGAGCAAAGCTCAGAAACAGCCTGGAAGCGGTGCTTTAGGATATCATTGTCGATGAAGTCGCTGGTGACATGCTGTGTTGACTTTAAATGAACAGCAGCGATGCTTAGGCAGCAGTGCAGATAGCACTTATTCGACTCGATGGCAGGTAGAATAACATCGGCGAAAACACCTCCTCGTTTTCTGGTTTCCAGAATGGGGAATATTTTGCTAGATAGATGCTCAAAGAAATGATCCAGTAGATGGCGGTCGGAATCGTCAACCTGGATCGAAGGAACACCCACGGGTATGTGAGAAAACTCAAGGCAGCTATGCTCTGGGAGAACCTTGGAATCGAACACATCATTTCGCGCCCAGTCATCCTCAGCAAATGAAGGTAGCATGGCATGGGCAAGAGGAGGCTGAAAAGTATTGAAAGTAGACGTTGACGAGTCCCGTCGAGTTGGGATATCATTGATGAATAGCTCGCTCTCTGTTTTGACATCTACCTCGTACGGCGTTGGAGCAGACCAGAATCCGTTAGAATCCAGATGTGATGGCTGGTCTTGAGCATATGGATCATAAAATTCCTGGATGTGAACATGGCTAGGCTCTCCTTCAGCGCAGTAGGGGGGCTCTAGAGAAGGGTCTCGAGTTTGCGAAGAGGTATCTGGGTACGCCTCAGGGGTTGGGGCTGAATGAGAAAGTTCGGGAGGACTGTATGTGCAGCATGTTTGACGAGGACATGAAACTGTCTTTTCGTTCATCTTGGTGCTCTTGATGAGATCCTTGATGTACTCCTTTTGCGACTTTCTCTGTTCATTGTTTCCCCACCACATTGGCCGTTCATATTCACATCGGAGCTTGAGATTTTTGCAAGCACGACAGGCAGGATGGCCTTCGTCGCACTTCTTGCGTCGCAGGCGGCATGTAAAACATCCTGTGTTAACTGTTAGTATGTGGGCACCCAGTAGGACCTACGCTGGGAGTAAGCAGGAAGGGATATCTACATACCAGAACGAGATCTTTTATGTAGCTTCTCCGCCTTCTTGATACCAGGATTCCCCTGTGTTGACGAGCTAGACGACGACTTTCCTGTAGGCTTGCGGGACTTTTTGGATTTGGAAACCGGCTTGACAAGTTCTATAGAGCTGGCCATACCCGGAGAAGAGGCGGGCGATTTGGGAGAGGGGGCGATAGTAGCGAAAGACATTTTGAACCGGCAACAGTAAGCTTTTTAAAGAGTAGAAACAGTTGCAACGAGAAAGAAAAACAGATGGATCCGTCCAAGGTAAATAAGGTCGAGGATGTGCCACTGAAGGGAGTATTAGATAACCTCTTAACCTGGCCAGCAGGAGATTTATCGAAAAAAAGAGTGTGATAGCGACAGCGGACAGGTATGAAGCCCTGAACAAAAGAGGGAACCAAAAAAAAAGGGGATTAATTATGTTCTTTAAAAGATTATGCTGCGGGCAAGGTATTAGTTTAATAATTGATATCAAAGCTGCGCTAACCAACCAGGTTGGACTGTTTCTATTTTTGAATACATTAATAGAAATCCGCCGCGAGAAGATCAAAAACTCAAAAACGAGAGCAAAGAAGCAAAGAACTCACTACGGGAGCTCAAGAATTATGCAAGGAAGGATCCTTGGCGAAAGATGACTGGTCAGTCCTCTTTTTCCGCGAGCCGCCCTGGTCAAATTTAGTTGCGCACAAGCATGCAGATGGCCAGGGTATGATGGGTCCAAGAGTGGAGCGGGGGTATGGATACCATGCAGGAAGGAGGTGTGATCGAGCGCCGGATAGGCTGCAAGCGTGCAGCTCAAAGATTGACCCCATTTGATCCCCAGCAAATCAGAACCTCGATACCTGGTGTTTGGAGGAAGTTCCTCAACACCAGCCTTTCCCAGTTCGAGTCGTATATTCCCTAAACGTGCCTAGGTATACACAAACTCAGAGGAGATGGCCGTTAACGGGAATGTTGGTGCAATATCTCATTTTATTGATTGCTACCCTGGGGTTGGAATAATCGACATTCTTACCCTTGGGGTCAGGCTGTTAACCTAAGTATACTCTGTACCGGGAAGGATTGCAGTCATGGAGGCACATGTATGCAGGGCCAGATCTCCGCCCACGTACGAAGATATGAGGGCCCCAGTTCGGCTATGGCTGGGGATGGGCAGCCGAGGAATCTTGGAGATATGCATGCTGACTGTACGGGGTACATTTAGAGCAGGGTAGCTTCATTTCGGGATCAAGTCGGTGTCCTCTATTCGGCTAGGCTTGATCCGTCTGTTGCCATTCCAACCAGGCACAATTTGGAATGGTAGTACATTCAGCATTCAGCATTCAGCATTCAGCATTCTCATTCGAGAGGAGCGTTCAGTTACCCCTGAGAAGGAAAGGGGGAAACGCCAGGTAAGCCAAGGACAAGCGCAAGGCACCCTCCCCCCTCATCGTTTAATCTACCACAGGGCCTGGTTGGGGATGTTTTTTCGTTTAGTTGGCTATCTTATTATTGAGCGAGGGATCAAGTTAGTTGTGAAAGGGCGAGCTCTGAGGCGAAGGAGCAGATGAGGTTGAAGAGCAGCTTGCCAAGCTTCGGGAATGCGAGCCCTGATTCGTCAGCTGTCTCTACCGCTAATCCTAAAGAAGTAAGTGTATCATTATGCTCGGTTCAGAGCGAAGTTTGGCGTGTCGAGAGGACGCGGAGTATACGCAAGGAAGCAATTATCGAAAGCCAATAACCTCATGCATGCATCGCGATGATTCAGGGTCCTCGTAGGCAGATGGGATGGATGTGACAAGGCGCTGTG